AAAGTTGGAGCACAACCAATTCTTGAAGCCTTTAATCTCCACGAACAATTATTGTCAATGCATCTTAGGAAATACTGTCTTTGGCAAGACTTCATTACCACGAATTGGAATTGATGCTTAATTTTTGTCTGAAAATGTTTGCCTTTGTCTGAAAATGTTTGCCCGGATTCAAGCATTCCATCAAGTGATGCACTATTTTTCAAATCTGCTGCACAGTTATGCTTCTGTTCAATTCTCTTCATGCTTTCACTTGCTATTTCAACAAGAGTGTTTGAACATCTCTTTGCACACTGGACAAGTTCTTGGTTTCCATTTCTCTGTTTCTGCAAAGCAGCATCATCTATCATGGAGATTGGTTGTAACCTCAGTTGACGTTCTTCATACGTCTCAGTACAATCCATGCTTCTGATAGAAAGGCATTTTTTCGGCTCCAATATTACACAAAGTGGCAATTTTGCGTAATCTGTTTCTTTCTTTTTCAACTCTTTATAAAATAGCAAGCTAGTCTCGTTGCTTATCGTTATCGGCTTGTATCCTTCCCTTATTGGATACTTTATCACCATCCTTGCATCAGAAGAATCTCTTTTTATCATTTTTTCCGCAGCTTCTTCTAAATCATCCAAACTTTCATTCTCTTTATGAAAGACACCACAAACTTCATATCCTTCATAACTGACTTCATTTATCCATTCCTCATTATATTGCACAATCAGAAGATCATCGCTTATGTTTCTGCAAAAAAATTTCATAAACAATTAAATGGTTGTTGTCTTCCAAACGATTGATATTATACCAAATAAACTCACAAGTTACAATAAGCTATTTAAGCCTCAGGGCTTAACCCACCCTCCTGGAATTACTAAGCTATCAGGAAGAAATCAAAAGAGCTAAAAAAAAAATAAAAAAATACAATACTGACAAGCAACCAGTCTACAAGCAAAGGAAGTGTTCAGACAAAGACCAAAAGCAAAAGAACAAGATCAACAAAAACATGTCCTCCTCTTCCCCAAAGAAAGTAAGAAAAAACATAAAAAAATACTAAGTGCACAACCTAAAATCAGTAAATAGGTCATGTCAAATTCCCACTGGATGCCCAACCGGGTCCCTAGTTCAATGACACTGCCTACTCCTGAAACATGTCAAGGCTTTAGAAATTCCTGCCATTCCACCCAAGCCTTCTCCACAATTGTAATTTTTTATATTTTTATATAAACAAGTCAAATGGTTGCTTTCATATTTTTATATAATTGATTTCATGTTTTTTCTATTAATTTCATATCAAAAAACTATTTTCTACTTGCCTGTGAACTCGTACGACGGGGCACCTTCTTTGCTCTTTAATTTTCTGCGTTTTTTATTTCAATTTTTTGTTTCCTGAAAGATTTGAATTTCCTTTTTGCAGTTATGTGTTTGTGGACTTCTTTTCATGGTTATGTGTAATAACTGACATCAGTTATCTTTCAAACGTTTCAAATTCTAAAACGTTTCATTTTTCATTTTTTGTTTATTGTTATTTTATGTCGTTTTAATTGTGTCCTATTATGGAGCATATTTGGAATTGTGTATTGGTAGGTACTATACAGAAATATTGGCTGAAAAGTGGGCAGTTATAAATTTTGGCCTAGAATTTATTGACTTAAATACAAGCATATGAAAATTGTTCATGTATTGCTTTTTTACACGCATTTGTTCATTGGCTATTAAATTTATTATTTCATATTGGGTTCATTCAACAAAATGAGGGAAAATACTACAAACATCATGACTAATATACTCCAACGGATCAAAGGCAGTCTGTCATAGATGAGGCCTCCAACTCCCTACCATCAATCAAATTACATTAAAACAAGAAACCTGATACAAGCTACTTGGACTCATAACATAAAAACAAACACAGTACATGACAGAAATAGAGCAAGAGAAATCCAGCATTCAAATATCTTGTAAATATATATATATATACAGTTAAAATAAATTGTTTAACCCAAACATCAATCCCGACATGCCATAGAATTTGATAGGTAAAATTGATTTTACTCCTACATGATCAAATTAATTTTCCTCTAACAAGCTCGAGTAAATTTTGAATGGAATATTGCTTCTTCAAGCACCAAGTCAATGAATAATCAGAAATTGCAAATAAATAAATAATAAATAAGTAGTGACAATTGATTATTATCTTGTAAACATAGACCCCAAACAGTTATGAATCTAAGAACCGAATCAAACCAAACCTGAAAATTTAAAGAGATGGAACACAAGTTGTTGACGTGTGTTGCCACCAAAAATAAACAAAATTCTGGCCACCATTTACAATTTATCTCCAAGCATAATTAGAGACCTACTTAAAGGCTTGGTTTCTTGTTTTGGAAGATAAGAAATAGGGTCCGATTGAATTATAAGATTCTTTTACCAAGATTTGACAGTTAAAGAATTTTAAATTGCTATCAATGATCAAGAAGTCGCATTAACCGCTTGCGTATGGCGAAGGAATGAAGAAATGTATTATGAAAAGCCACATGATAATTGGCTTGTGCAAAAGACATGCCGAATAAATCCCAAGCTTTTAGTTGTATGTATTTATTTATTTATTTATTTTTCTTTTCGGAAATGGACAAGATCATAAAGGAATATGACATGGTAACTACTAAGAGACTTTAACCCTAAAACATTTTAAGAATGACATCATTAATCATTAAGATGTTTATTATTAGTTTTTTATAAGAAACACATAATTTGTTTATGTTGAAAATTAGTTACAACATGTGGATAATGTATCTATAAAAGACTACAGCCCAGACAATATCTTCATGAAGCAAATATCTAGTCTTTCCTCACACATATATTGACCAGCACCATTTTCTCTCAATTTCAATTTTTTTCCCTTTTGAATTTTCTTTCCCTGAATTTCGGGCTGCCTCCTGCACCTAATCAGTAACTTTCCTAATGGGATTTTTATTACTTGTTTTCACGTCTACTACTGCTCCAAGAGGATGATCTGGAAAACCCATCTTCTGCTCCCGATTATGTTAATATTCCATAAAATCAAGTGAATAGTATTCGGTAGCTAAGTTCACGAATCAAGCGCCAAAAACAGAAACAAAAGAAATGAATTTTAAAAAAAAAAAAGAAAAAAAGAAAACCTCCAGTGAGTTGTCTAGTAATGCGAGCGTTTTATTGGGATTTAGCATTCGAGTCTTCTATACTGGATTCTGATGATTTTTCTGAATAACAATGCCCAATGGTTCTTTCAATGAGGTATGTGATTCCTATCAGTTGTAAACAGTAAACACAGTTAATCAAATCACAAAAATATAAAATTTCTTATAACCAATACACTTGAAGCAACAGAAAATGTAAGGGGATGGCAAGAAGTATACACCTGAGGAAGCACATGTAATGACCCGACTTCACCAGCAAAAGTCTGAAAACAAGAAACCAAGAATTCGACATACCTCATATCAGGAAAAACAGTAATCAAAACGAAAAGGCACAAATTGACAATGTGAAATAGGAGAACTTACAAAGGTAGAAACATCATCCACAAACTCATCCCTGGGTGTAAGAACGGAAAAGGAAAACATAAACAAATTATGATAACAATACAGTACAGTAAAGACATATATTCTACTACTCATTAAAGACATTAGTATAACGATACGCGCGTGTGTGGGTAAAATCAGAGCCCCTGTGCACATAGGTAAACCAAAGTAAAAAAAGAAGTGGTAATAACCAGTTGATTTGCTCTTTGGCCATACCTTTTTTTTCACCGATCGAGTTGCTTTTTCAGATCTTCAAAAAATTGGTCACTGTTACTCGTTTCGTAGGAGATCTTCACCGTCGATCGTTGCTTGAAATCGCCTCGCTCGTCTTCAAACCTACCTTCATTTTGGTCTATTTGAAAAGGAAACACCACTAAGAAGAATTCAGATTAAGAAACTAACAAGAAGTCAAGATTTTGCTCCATCCTTTTGCTAATTTGTCATACATTTCCTTACCTTAGATCCACAAAACTAAATAAATCGGATTTAACAAACAGATCAATATACCTGCAGCTTTCAAACAAAATGCTATGAAGTGCCTTGTTTCTAGGATCATTCTTATGCTTCTGGTTCATGCGTCTGATGCTATGAATATCATGAGAAAATGCCAGAGTTTTTAGCGTCCTATCCCCAACTGTCTGGAGCTCCATGAATACTGCAAGTGTGTCCATGATATCAATGNTATGATGCAAATATCTGCAAATGCACAGCAGTACAACCAGTTCAAGAAATGGGGAAAAAACAAGAAGAAGAAAAAAAAAAGTTAGGTAGAAGTGCCATGCCGGCTAAATATTGCAGCTGCTATAGCTAGATCTCCAGCTGTCTCTGTCAAGATAAACACGCTGACAACGTTAAGAAAAATGCCCTACAATTCAAGAAAATGTGAATAGACAATAGAATATAATGATAATTTTCCAGCAGGGAAATCATGATTTTTAAATTTCAAGATATTGTACGACAGAACAATCAGTTGATTGCCATCGAAAAGATGAACAAACAGAAAAGCACTAGAATGATCAATATGAAATCAAAACTTTGAACTAATAAGGAACAACCAGTCCAATATTTATTGGTTTTATTCTTAGAGGTTTTTTCTCTCTTCTTTTTTGCTGTTATTCAAACATCCCCACTAGTATAGATATGAAAGCAGAATAAACAAAAAATAATAAAAGTTCCAAGTATATCCAACTAATAGAGCAATGATCAAAACCCTTTTGGCCAATTCTAAAAATGCAGGGCAGATTATCAAAACCATATAGCCAATCAACTCAAACAGAACAAGAGGAGATATAGATATGAAAGCAGAATAAAGAAAAAAATATTAAAGATCCATTTATTTCCAACTAATAGAGCAATAATCAAAATCCTTTTGGCCAATTCTATCAAAACCCTATGACCAATCAATTCAACCAAACTATCCAACCTAATCAATCCCTCACGTCACCTAATCCATCCCAATCAATCCAGCACAACCAGCTCTTCATACTCCTTGCCCGCAATCGCCTGATCCATAACAGCCTGGGGACTGATAATTTTACCTTCCTCCAAAAACACCTTCATCATATTCTTTGAATAACCACTCACAAGCGCCACTCCCGACTGGTTTGCCGGCACCGGGGTTGCCCGTGAGTCCCTCAAGTTCCAAAACACAATCTCCGGCACACATTCCCCATAACCCTTCTCACCAAACTTCCGCACAATCGCCTCATAATCAGTTTCCCACGTCCTGGGAGTCCCAACAACGCCCGGTAAGGTATATGATGGTGGGGGTGGGTAAGGTAACGTATATGATGGTGGGCCCATCGAAAGACCTGGTGCGCCAATCGGAATAATGCCATACCCACCATACCCACCCACACCATACCCACCACCATACCCACCACCATACCCACCATACCCACCCACACCATACCCACTGCCATACCCAATACCTCCATATGATGGTGGTGGGCCCTTGTACCGTGCCTGATCAAACTCCATGTCACTGAACACCAAAAGCCGCTTGATCATCTGCTCCGGCTTGAGCTTTCCGGCCACGGCAACTTCAAGCAGCAAATCAAACACCTTTTGGAAATCAGTGTTCATACCCCACTCCATAGTCCTTACAAAATTCGTCTTCTCCGCCAAACTCGACCCCACCACATCTTGAATCTTGGGGTTTGCGCTGAATGTGATGAGTTTTCCCTTCCAAGGCTCCTCGCTAAGCTCCGAAACCAAAACCCCAAGAGCCACCGAAACCTCCATCGGCACACCATTCATGCTCCCGGAAACATCGCAAATCGCTAGGCAGTTGCTCATCTTCCCCTTCTTCGCCAGGTCATCCACCATTCTCCTCCACTGAAGCTCTGCCACCTGGCTGTTGTCACCATCTTTAAGTCCGGCAACTATCTCGTGCGGAAGCAGAGCTCCAGCGGCAATCTTGGCCTCACCCTTCTCCACCTTTTCGAGATACTCTCCGAACCTCTGCTCATCATGCTCTCGAAACACCTGCTTGTACATTTTCATGGCAACAGAGGACACCCTGCTGTAAGGGAGTGTACTCCACTGTTTCGCGCTCATGTAGAGCTCCGGCAGCTCGAGGGCTTTACGAAGAGGGACAAGCACTTGCTTACGTAGACGGTCCCGAACACGATAAGCATAGTGGGCCTCCTCCACTCCTTGGTATTCCGGAAACTCCTCCCTCGGGAAGACTTTCTTGGCAATTGGCTCACAAAGCAGAGTGACCTGGTCGTATGAGGAGTCGAGGGAGGGGCACCACTTGGCGGCAAGGCTGATTTTATTCGATTGGCCGGAATTCAGATTCTCCATGTCCGACCTCAGGCACAGGGCAAAGTAATCCGACACACGCTCGTGGAGGAATCTGTAATCCGGGTCGCGGCTGAACCTCTCAAAGGCCTTCTTCGCCCGCTCGAGCCTCTTCTCCTCATTGCTTAGTTTCGGCTGGTCATTCGAGTTGCTCGGCCGGTTGGATGTCCTCCTCATCCGGCCATGGGTCTTCTTCCTTATGCCGCCATATCGTGGGGCCATCTGTTTGGGTTTTTTGGCCTGCCGGCGTTTGGCAAGCTCGCGAGCCCGGCGTGAGCCCCTCGATTTCCAACTCCGGTAAGCCGCCTTAGCCTGTGTACGAGCGTTGGGGCCCTCGACGAGGCGGAAGAGGATCTCGAGGAGGTCCTTGAAGTAACCGAACTTAGCCAGGGAAGCGACGTTGCAGGCGAGGGTCTTTGGGTGGTTCTTGTGGATCCACAGCGCCGCCGTGTAGCCGCCCTCCCTGTCGGTCTTTCCGGTGCCGCGAACGCCGCGGAGGTTGCAGACGAGCTTCAGAGCCTTAAGCGGGTCATCTTCCCAGGCGAGATTCAGGCGCTGGGCGAGGGCTTCCGGCGGCGTGTCGGGGACGACATGGAAGAAGAAGTCGAGGCAGGGGTTTCCGGAAGAGAGGAAGGTCGGAGACAAGTTCTCGGTGAAGCCCTTGGGTGGGAGGGGTGCCGTGGCCGCCGTCTTGTTGAATTTGGCAACCATGATGTCCATGAACGGATCTCCCGTGGCGGCGGTGGCGGGGGCGGTGGGAGAGGTAGACTTCCGGTGGATCTGCGGAGGGCCGACGAGAGAAATTGTTGTGGTAGCGGGAGAAGCCATCGGGAAGAAGGTGATGGAGATGGTTTTTTTCTTGCAGTGGAAAAAGAGAGAGAGATTGGGGATTTTATTTAGATGACGAGTTGCAGAGATTGAGGAGATTGAGCGTTGGAGGGGCAATATTTATAGTGCCTGATTTTGCTTGCTCACCAAGGATAATCAGTTTTCCGATTTCTATTTTGTTTATAAATATTATTAAACCTATTTAGTAAAAAATTATTAGGTTAAGTAACATAAAATATCAACTATCAATTCAATTAAAAATTATTAATTTAGGTCGCATAAAATATCAACTAGGCCGAGCATTCGCTTAACGATTCTTGCACCCTTCATTTTCATTTCTTATTTCGACAAATTTCATAAATTTAAATGCTGAAAAATTTTAAATTACCAATTTAAAATTTTTGTTTCTATCAGTATAGAGGACATTAGATTGATTTACTATCCAAAAGATGAACAAACTTTCAATTCTAGAAGCTATTGATTTCAAACATGAAATTATAAATTTAAAACTCTAAAGAATAACATCATTGTACGGTTCTTCTTTTTTTTGCATACTTGTACGGTTCTTAATATGTGATGAAATGACCGCCAAAAATTAATAAAAGCATCTCAATATAAACTAAAAAATGTATTGAAAAACATCATTAATTTTTTGCTATAATCTCATTTTCTTTCTATATGTGACCGAGAAGAAATTTACGTTGTTTTTTTCATTTTTTTATTTCTTATTTATATTAAAATATTTTTTATTTATAAACTTTTACATTCGAGTTATTGATGTGATATACAAAAATTTATTGGTGTTTTTCATCTATTTTTCAATATTTATTTATATTAAGATATTTTTATTTATTCGTTTTAACAACACTTTGGAGTCTGGTATATTTAATCTTTCAGGCTTAAAATTGATAGTTCATTACCTTCTGAGTCTGGAATATATAGATTTTATATTTGAGGACCAAAATTGATAATTAATTTATCTTTTACACCCCAAGCTGATAAATCTCTAAAATCAAGTATACACATAAAAAATATAAATTGAACAATAATTATGCAAAATACTTTTTCATACAAAATATTTACTTTTGTATGTTGTTTCTCCAATCATAAATTATTTAAACTCTTATTCTATATAACTTGAGATTTAACAATCATTGAACTATTTACGCACTGACCAACATGTCAAAACAATTCATAATGACTAAATACTCGGCATGCCTGTATAGTGGATTCAATGCAGTTCATATCCAACATTAAAATTAATAATGTCATTTTTGTTATAAATTATTTTTAATGTTATTAACTCTTTTGAACCTTCCTGATGTTTATACATGTGGCACTACTTTTAAATAAGTAAAAATAATACATTCCCCTCAAAATTGCATAGTATAAAAAATAATGATAATATGTACCATTTGTAATCTCATGAATTATATTTATACATTGACAGGCAATGAGCACCGGTCGGTGCTGGTTAGTTGATTTTTTATTATATAGTTAATTTTAATATAATAATAATTATGATTTATTATATAATCTATATAATACATAATTCATATTTAATTAATTCATAGTGATTACTTAGTAAAAGTGACATACAAAGTTTCTATTTCGTTCATACTTAATAAATACTTTGTTTATTTATAATGTATACTTAGTTGATATCGATTGCATATTATGATGGGGACACTTTCAGCATCATGGGTGCACATTAATTCATATATAATTCGTACTTAGTTGATATCAATTTCATATTACTAAAATATATTTATTCATACAAAATGCATATTTAGTTCATACATAATGCATATTTAATCTATAAATAATGCAAGCTTACACTACAAGAAACAAGCTTAAGAGGAACGACAACATTGGAACAACAATTATGTTGTGCTAATAGAAAGATATATTGCAACGACATAAAATTGTCGTGCCCATAAATAGTTTTCTCTATTGGAATGTGGAATGTCGTGTCAACATTTCAAATGTTGTTTCTATAAGTGCGATTCTTTAGCAACAACATTATGTTGTTGTAATAGATATACTAATTGTGCCAATAAAACATGTCAGTTTAATGACCCACCAACCGTGTGACCAAATGCCTGGAGATCAATTAATGGATATTAATTGGAACGACTTGTCATGCTTATAAATAGTACATGTCGTTCCAATAAACCTTCAGGGCTTGTTTGATATAGAAGATAGGATTAGATTATAATAATTTGGACTCCCTAGATTGTACTGTTAAGATTTGATAAATATTCTGTTCGATGGCCATGATTGAGGGGAAAAAGAAGATTAGACAAAGTTTTTTTTTTTTTGTGTTTGTGGGGCATGACAAAATTTAGGATAAAACATCATTTTACTTAATTACCCTTTATTTGTCCAAATATTTCAACGACAGCATCCACATTATTGAAACATTTTTTTCTCCAATTGTAACCTAATTTCCGTCGGCCGTCCGAAAAAATGCGCCTCTGCTTCTCGCCCAGCGATCTGTCAGTGTCGGTCGTGGAATGCAAGCAACACGAATGAGCCGGCGTACCGTGTACACGGGACCTTCTCGCATCTGTAATTGTTTTTCTACGGATTTCTTCCCTAAAGCACATATGTCATGTTTGTGTCCTGTTCATTCGTTCGTGAATGGCTTGTGCACCATTTGGCTGTACCTGTGTTCAGTGAATAATATGTCATAAGGTCGGTCCATGTGAAGTAAGTATTTCTATCCGAAAATATAGAATTGTCTTTCTGAAACAGTGTTTTAATTTATTTTAATTTCTTTGTCAGGCATCCAAGCAGAAAGCACATCGTTTCTCAGGCTTGTAAATCCAAAAGGCCAAGATTGTGTTGTTGTTTTGTCCAATCAGCAGTACCATTTATTCTTTTCCATGTGCTTATATTCAAAACTGTATGATTATATTCTCTGGCCTGTTCATGTTGGCATGGGTTGCTGCTTATTCCATCTGATTCCTTTTGTACAGTGTGATACAATCTGGCAGAGATCTGTGATGCTTTTTGAATAAAAGTCTTGTAGAATGGTGTATTTATTCAGTTTTCAGCTTTATCATTTACATCACATAAATTGTGTAATTTGTATACCCTCCTCTGTGTGGTAGGTCATGTCCTTCCCTATATAAAGATGTTGATTTTCCGTTTAATTTCCACATTCAAGTGACGGCCACAAAAGTAGGATTTATTTAACCCATCCTTTATTGTCATTGAAAGGCAGGATAATGGCCCGTTTGGGAAGGGATGCCACACAAGATGATTTTCTTTACGATGATCGTTGGACCAAAGAGGTCGACAACCTGTTCATAGACCTTCTTGTAGAGGCCCACTTTGGTCTTGAATGGAGACATGGCAGACCAGGGTCGAATGTCTTCGCCTATTGCCGTGGTGCATTGTTTGCACATCTCGAGGCAAACTTCACGGTCACTGAAGTTGAGGAAAGGTTCGATTTCCTTCACAAGCGTTTCTGAGTCTTTTCTTGGATGCTACGAAAACATGGTTTGCGCCACTGTGTCCAGTCCAACGTCCTCACGGCTCCGGTAGCAGTGTGGGATGATATATTCCAGGTATTCCATAACAACTTTGCATATGAAGGGAGCTTAAGGGGATCTATTGCTGTTTACACTTTGTTGCTCATAATACACATATTTTGGTTACCTTTTCTGTTGTTATTAATAGCATTTTACTAATAGGACTTTATAAAAAGAAATATGCAACTGCCGTGTGTTCTGCTTGTTGTGGTTAGCCTTTTTTCTTGCTTACGCGGCCAAAAATATAACCTTGTACCATTTAACTAAGTTCCTAATACTTGACTAAAAAACTTGTAAGATCAATGTACTGTAAACTCCTCCAAAATTGAGTTTTTTCATAACTTGTGTACTCCTTAAAACAATAATTATATAGCAAATTTAATCAAGTTCAAAGGAGTGCATGTGTTGCCTGAGGTTTACTAGTGCGCACTTGAAAGAATTATTATAAATGTGGCACTTCAAACAATTATTATATACTTGTGTGAGGTCTACTAGTGCGCAGTTGAAATAATTATTATATAGCAAATTTAAGCAAGTTTAAAGGAGTGCATGTGTTGCCTGAGGCGGCTCATTCATTTGTGTTTTAGTTGTGTAGTATTACCAATATATGCTTATTATTGTGTGAAGTTAAAGTCATGTATTTATGCAGTCCGACCCATTCTCGGTAGCATACCAACATTCTGGGGACCCGCGTTGGCCGGACATACGATATTTGTTCACTGAGGTGTATGAAGCCAGCTCAAATGCACCGGATGTGTTGGACCAAAACTCTACTAACGAAAATTATGTCGCGGCCTTGTACGAACAGTCGTACGTCTTTGAGCTGAGTTCCCTCACTAACGATCCACTACTAAATGATTCAATCGGAAACAACGTTTGTCAACCAAGATCTAGACGAGAACGTCAAGATTCATCCGAAGGCTCAGTCAATACACACACCCATGTGAGCATTCAAAGGCGGGGGAGTCGAACACCATTGCGCATTCCCCGACGACCTCGTAAACTGGCCCCATCTTCATGCAACGGATCTTCTTGTGACCCGCCTACCTGAACACTTGCGAAGTCGCAACAATTGTCGTGGACATTTAAATTTCCTTCATTTTGTGGCTTGTCTTTTGTATTAGTATGGACTTTTTTCTACTGTACTTTTTTCGGTGCTTGTCATCACAAGTATCTGTACTTCATTAACTATCTCTTGACTTATATATGTGTGTTCATCTACTAAAGTCTTGTATCTATTGCTTCTTCAATTCTTTTCCCATGGTTGAAGTGTTTTATCATTTTTATTATAACTATGCACAGAAAAAACCGAAGTAAAATTGACCTTATAGTCCACTTTTCAAACAAGCCCTTAGATAAATTACACAAAAGTTAGCAGCACTGCCACATTATAAATTATAATCAACCAAAGCATTATATAACAACAATCCCTGCTCATTGCTCATTCATTTGTGGAAGAACTAGAAAGATAAATAATTTGAAGAAGACCACAACAAACATAAAAAAGTAGGAATAATATTCACTTGATAACCTATACAAAATATGGTAGCCACAAACAAATCTCCCCTTACATGCCATTCACCAAACTATAATTGGGATCTAGCAAACCAAATTTTAGGAAGATTCAAAACACAAAAAAATTGACTACTAGGCTACCTATGATAATAACATCCGCACGTACATAAGCAAACTTCAAATATACATAAAATACATAGGACTAAATACCCAATAGAACACAACCATAGTAGCATCATATGGTTGGGAGCTAAATACCAAAACGAAGTCTAAGCCCAGCCCGAAAAATATTTATCCGTTAGTTGGAGTCGACGCATGAGTCCACATCAAACTCATTCTCCCTTAATTCCTCATCGTCATCCATAGGAACTGGATAATCTTCGATTGGGCTTTCAACCTGCTCCTCGACTTCAAAATCATCCTCCATCACATCCATATGAATTGGGTTCTGCAAAGTCTGACATGGGTTAAGATCGATGTCCACCTGAGCCGCACCCCGTAAGTTCCATAGCTGCACACACTCATTGTACCATTTGAAGCCATTCCAACGAAAATATTGTTCTATATCCGTCTCCTATGCGTGTATTAAATTTTTCCGGCCGTTATCAAATTTCACAGGCTATTTATAAAAAGATGATAACCATATAAAATTACCTCTCTGACGAAATTCCAGTACTCTCGGTTCACACTAATGAACGAGCCGTCATCATGAACGCCGACTCCCGGTGTGGTCATGAACTGAAGAAATTCACGGTAATGTCCCTGAAGCAGCTGATCTTATCACGTACCTTCATCCACGAAACTTCCTTCTGCATGAGGTCCGACAACTGACGGAAGAGTCCGAACCATAACGAATTCACGACGGCTGGCAGGTGGACGTCGTCCGTTTCTGCACATTTCTGAAAAAAGAGACGATTGCAAGCCTCCTCTTCCTCCTCGGTCCACCCCTCCAACCGGAAGCGCCGCTCAATGTTACCGAGCTCCTCGTCCGATCCATTTCAGTTTTCCTGCTATGTCCACATCCACAAATTAATAAAGAAATTAAATAAGAGACCAAAANAAAAAAAAAAAAAAAACGTTGAAAGCCTTATTACACAACTGATTTAAGGGTGAGGGGGAAATAAATGTTACCACAGTAGAGCCAAAGCTTGAAGATGGTGATGCTTTTAATTTGGCATTAACACAAGTAATATAGCCGGCTTGGACACTTGCACCTCAACTCAACATTACTCCTTATTTATTTAGGTAGTTACCAATCAACTCTAATGAATGGAAATAATCATTAACCTTTTGTTTGCTTAAGTGGGTATGAAAACAGGATGAATTAAAGGCCGGCCTTAATGTCTATTGTTTTTTGCCCCAGCATGGTCAATCACATGCAAAAGTGAAGTAAACTGATCCGGTTTTGTGTAGTGCAGATCAATTTAATGTAGCCAGCAATTTTGTCATCATTTCGGGGCCGTCATTATGTAGTGAATTACATTTTTTTTGGGTACAGAACCATGATTTGGTCCTATATATATATATATATATATATATATATATATATATATATATATATATATATATATATATATATATATATATATATATATATATATATATATATATATATATATATATATATATATATATATATATATATATATATATATATATATATATATATATATANGTTTACAGCTTTATTATTATTCTGCTCATGAACTGAGTAAAAACATATTATGTGTATACATACTTATTATATGTAAAATAATGAATTATTTAAGGAATATGACATTGTGATTAAATGTAATAATTAGTTACAACTGTGAATATAAAGATAAAGTACTGTACTTTCATTTTATTTTTTAGTGGTTTATTTCAAAAACTATAATGAGTAGGCTAGTTTTTAAAATTTGAAGGTTGAGACCAATTAATAAAAATAAGTCCTTTGCTATGCCCTTGTAGGTAATTAGTTATAGAAAATTATGTTATGCCAAAAAAAACTTATCTTTTTGGTTCATATAAATCATTTTCATGTATCTTGTACATGAAAATTAAAGTTTATTATAACTAGCATTATCATTTGTGTTATGTTACATACAGGTGGGATTAAAAGACGTAATAATTTTTACTATCTGTTATTGCATTAACAGGGGAAGTACAATTGATGAGTCAAAGTTTTGTGATGAACTAGTGGACTCCCTTGACACACAAACATCACAATAATGCGCTGACCTGTTAACTTTTGAATTATTCCTAAGCTAAGACTAATTTCGATCTCGAGTACTTATATAACATATGACCTCAACCGGACAAGTTCAGAAACGAGCATTATGAACTTGCAGAATTCGCAAAAACTGAGCTCATGGGAACATCATAAAAATCCAACCAAAATATATATAGCCAAATAAATAGTTGCTGCCAATGTCACAAAACCAAAAGCATAAGTTTAATGACCATATGAATGACCCTAGTCCAGGCAGGATAAGGGTTCACATCCACATACATTACTTTAAATAGATATATAGATGAAATTCCAAAACCACAAAATGTGATGCACCGTTTACCATACACGTACAATGACAATGCCATGCCTTTTCTTTCATCAATCAACTGGACAAGATTTGTTGCACCATGGAGCACTGCGCAACATCATCAAGGCTGAAAAAGAGGTCCATCTCGTCTAAGTTTTTGCATAAGTAACGCGCGACAATTACCTTTTCATCTGTTGTTATATTTGGAATTTTTTTAAGAGCCTCATAAACTGCAATTCGTTGCTCTTTTGCGTCTCCTTGGTTTGTAAAACGTACCGACAATTCAGAAAGACGTTTGTTCGTCTCCTCGCAAACGGATGAAATGAGGCCGATTATTTTATCCTCCACCTCAACATTATGCTTTCTTTTCCCGTCACGCTTAGACTTACCGGATGCACTACTCTCACCCTCTTGGGCCGAAAAAGAGTCCATGTTGTTGTTAAGATCGTCACATTGTTCCGGGAACGAGTCTTGAGTTGGGATAGGGCTAGGTGCAGGGACATTTGTTTCATGTAACACTCTATTAACCGCGTCTGTAAAACCTTGAGCTCCCTCGCCGGTAGCCCGGTCTTTGCCAAATATTTCCACCAAATCACCATAAAATGGCCAAGATTTATAACGTAGTCCCTTCACCTTTGGATTAGCCTACAAAAAAAGGAAACGAGAATAAAATTAATTTGTCCTTAAATTACTTTGTCATCCATCATAAAACATGGTAAAAAATGTAAAAATCTACTAATTACGTTGATGTAGGATTGCCAAACGGCATCCTCCTTCACAACAATCATGTTTCCCGTTTCACTCCATTCGAACCCCGAAGTTGCAAGCATTCCCAATATTAAACCATAATTCTTTTTCCAAACCGTAATCTTTGATAATATGTGCGGTTCGGCTTTTATGTTAGTACCTGGAAAACACTGGGCCATATGTTGCTCCAATATGTTGGTGTATCCTGAGCGAAATCCGTTGTCACATTTCCAGCCCCGCGAAACAAGATCGCGCAAACCTTGAATTAATGCACTTTCCTCGTCCCTCGTCCAAACTCGACGTTGTCCGTTGCCCTGTGAATTGCATCCCCCACTAGCCGTGGATTCCATCACTAAGTCTTGACAAAATAAAGAAACAAATTATTGTAGGTTAGTGGTTCAACAACAAGAAAACAATATATTGTAAAGAAGAATAACCACAATGTAGCAGGCCAATATGTTTCATGCACACAACCAAAACAAACGAAATAAACATTCAGTCACAATTATGTCATTCACAATAAAT